GTGTATGCCTGTAGTTTAGTTTTATAAATTAATTCAATTCACTTTCCTCCATCTTGCTTATTGAATTTTCTAATTCTTTAAGGTTCAAGTCCAGTGCATGCTTCTTGACTGAGCCTCTGAACCACTTCAGTTTATGAGTTTTGTTCTTTGAACATTTGCTATATAAGCTATTAGATTGTTACACTCAAACCTGGACTATCAATTAGGTTTTCTTAATTTGTTACCTTAAAGGTATCATAAACAATATAAATGAGTCCAATGAAAGCAAATTTTTTATCATCTTTCTTCACTTTCTTTACAGGACTTACATATACCATAAATTCTCTAAATATTGATAATTGCTAATTAACACATGATGTGAAGAGTTGACAAAGTGCTTTATGGAGTAAAAAAAAAGGCTTTTAAAGTAAAATGTTTACACTAACCACGTAATAATGAAGTAGAACATAGGTGTTAACTCTTTGCTATTAAAGAATAATTATAGTAATCTTACAGTCCAAATTCGATTTTAAAAAGAATTATCATCTTTAGACCCCAGGAAGGGAAGCCTCTGCTCCTTGCTAGAGCTTCAGATGGTCTTTTCTGGCTACATGCTTTCATGAAGATATAGCCTTGAGCGATAAGAAAATATGCCACTTACATCTTACGGTTTCTTTCTATACCACAGCACAGGTCAAGACCTGTGACTTTCCTGCTCAAATGGCCTCAAGTCTACTTTTAGGAGCTTCACAGACTGTTGCTGGGATTCGTCCTTCAATGGCTGTATTATGACACCGGTGTGCTCAGCCTAAGTTGACTGAAAGGCTAAAGTGGGCAGCTTTTTGAAACAGGGAAAAAATACAGCTTGTGTATGAGATGCTCATATATGTTCATATATGCTAAGTTTCTCAGGGTCACATATGCAGCATCTCATACACAAACACTGAGCTAGAGTCAGGTAAGGGCAGAGAAGTGGGGATTAACTAAGGTGAAGAGCTGGCTCTGTATGGCCACCACATGCTGCCATGGGGTTCTTAGGAGTCCAAATGTTTTAAACATGAACCTGAACTGTCAGATTTTTATGGAAGTATCTTTGCAAAGTAGGCTAATACTATGTATTTTAAGTTTGATCTTATTTAAAGAATGGAACTGCAGGCCATTATCTTAAATGAAACAACTGAGACACAGAAAGACAGATACTGCACGTTCTCATTTCTAATTGGGAGCTAAATAATGTGTCCATGTAGATGTAAACTGTGGAATGATAGAAAATGGAGGCTGGGGAGGATGGACGGGGGTGGATGATAATAAATTACTTAATGATTCAGACTGCATTATTCCAGTGGTGGATATGCTAAGGCCCTGTAATCACTTTATTTAGACATGTGGTATATGAGCTGCCACACATACATTTATACAAGTAAAACATTTATCACTTAAAAATATTTAGACATGTGGTATGTGAGCTGCCACACATTCTTGCCTTGGGACCTCCACTTTTTAGAGACCCTATTTATTTTAATACTTGGAATTATAACTAAAAGGTTATAATGACCCCTTGAAAAGCATGAAGACTGACCTCTGTCTTACTGAAAATCCATGTATAACATTTGACTGTCCATAAAAGTTAACTATTAATAGGCTACGGTTGATCACAAGGCTCTTTGATAACAAACAGTTGATTAACATGTAGTTTGTATGTTATATATTACACATACTGTATTCTTACAATAAAGTAAGCTGGAGAAAGGAAATGTCACTAAGAAAATCATAGCTAGGTCTGCTAGCTCATGCCTGTAATCCCAGAAATTTGAGAGGCCAAGGCAGGTGGATTCCCTGACCTCAGGAGTTTGAGACCAGCCTGGGCAACATGGGAAAATCACATCTCTATCAAAATACAAAAAATTAGCCAGGAGTAGTGGTGCATGCCTGTTGTCCCAACTACTTGGGAGACTGAGGGGGGAGAATTTCCTGAACCTGGGATATGGAAGTTGGAGTGATCCGAAATTGTGCCACTTTGCTCCAACCTGAGGAACAGAGTGAGACCCCATCTCAAAAAGAGAAACGAGAATCATAAGGAAGAGAAAATATATTTACTATTCATTAAATGGAAGTGGATTATCGTAAAGTGTTCTTCATCCTTGGAGTCTTTATGTGGAGTAGACTGAAGAGAAGGAAAGGTTGGTCTTGCCGTCTCAGAGGTGGCAGAGGCTGAGGAAAATTCACTTTAAATGGACTTACCTAACTTAAACTTGTGTTCAAGGTTCATTTTTATATATAAACCCAGTATTTCCAATAGGAAAAGTGTGCCTGAAATGTGATATGATTTCTTTATCTACTAGTGTTACATTTTATGGCAAATCTCATAGGCTTTTAGATCTGTATCAGTCTTGAATTTATATTCTTGTTTTCAGGAATCAATTCCAAATTTGTCTATCTGATATGTATTACTTTCTATATTCTCGAATGAAAAGAAATTTACCAATTCTATCTGTTTGATTGTTTTGGTACCTACGTCTAATTGTAATTTCTTTTATTTGAAGTAAAAGAAGAGATATTATTTTTCATCAAACATTACATACTTAATGTGAAAACAATGCATCATCGTGTTATGTGTCCCTGGATTGGAGTAGAATCACTTTTCCGATTATCTGTGTATATTTTGGTACTTCTCTATTTCTTGGTTTATATCTGTTCTGATTTAGTGAATACATATATTCTTTTCGCTTCAGACCCTTCTCTCCTTTTGAACATCTCCCCAATTGAGTGTATTTGTAGATAAGGAACTGTTATTTCATAAATCATATTTTCAAATAGTTTTTCATATTCGAGTTAAAGTTAATCTCATATTTTCAGAGAGCTGATTTTTGATGAACATGGTTAATGCTTTTTACTAATATGAAGCGATGTAGTCTGAAGATATTAAATGTAAGAATTAAAGCAGAATTTACTGGGAATGTAGTTCTTTACTCCTATATGGGAGAGTAGAAGATGGAGTAGAGACATTAATAATGTATATGCATTGCCTGAGAAACAAAATCAGTTCTAATTGTAAATTGACTCAAAATAAAAATAATCATTGGATGAGTATTTTAGATGCTCTCCTATAAGTAAATACATAGATTTTTAAACATTGATTTTGACAGTGTAAAATTAAACGTAGTTTTTACCATTATCTTGGTTCACAGTTATATTCAGAACGATCATATTGTGGTTCCAATGAGCTGTGATAGTGCCGGTTTGCCTTTAAGTGTCCTCAGAGAAACGTAAACCCATTATACATTAGGATGAAAGACATTTAGATGAGTAATTTCAGGTATGTTCCCATGAGATTATTGAATCACCCCGATAAACAATGTGTGTATACTGTAAAATTAAATACAGAGTTCAAAGGAACTCATTGTTTTATCTGGAAAATACCCTCTGGATTTCAAGCGAGAAACTTGCAAAAAATAGTTTTGGATAAAGATTGTGTTTAAGTTTATATGATGGATAATGTAAATTATTCTAGAAATTTACAGTAGATAATTAAAAGTACTTTGTGTCATACTAGTCCTATATACTGAGGAAAGTAGGCATCCTGTTAGAAGCTGTACTAATTGAAATTCAACTGGCCTTGATTTAGTAACCCTCTATAGCCAGTTAAAATGAGAAATTGCAAACAGAACGTGTTAAATAATCTTATAAACAACTGAAGTATGCTATCAACCAATAAAGCCCTTATTCACTATAGCAAACCATTTGTCATTTTCAGGATACTCTAATAGAAATGATAAACTATGATGACTAGCATGTTTTCCTAAAAATGCTATAAGGTTACCTGAATGTTTTGCATGTACTGAAAATTATCAATTATAACTATTCAAATAAAGTGGAGTTATAATCTAAATTTGCAATATAAAGTATGTAATATTAAATGAATGAATACAAACTGATTTCATAGTGCTTAAATATCTTTATTAAATCTCTTAAAGGACAAACAAGGTCCTTCTATTCAGTTAAGTGGCAAACTGCTTGTACATAAACATACAGAAGTGAAAATAATCCAGTGATTAGCTCAGAGCAAAAGCCAAAGTGCTTAAAATGCTTATAATAAAGACTTTTGGTTTGACTACTCCCCGACTCTGTTCTTATTACCTAAGGTGCTTTCGGTGCCCACTTACACTGTTCCTCAAATACGCCTGTACACTCCTGCCTCCAGTTATTTGTAATTACTGCTTCCTCTTTGCAAGTTTCACTGTCTCATACCTAAGACAATGCTTAAATGTCACTACTACCCCAGTAGGGCCTTTTCTAGCCCCCCACCTCTTCTTAATCTCCTCGCCCTGTTTTCCCCATTGTAGTTTCTACCATATTATTTAGTTTTACTTGTTTCTACTTTTTAATTGTCTTTCTTCCCTCTAAAGTAAGCTTTATAAAGGCAGAGAGTTTTTGTTCAGCTAGTTAACTGCGGTATTTACAGTGTCCAGGGTATGGGAATGCCTGATAAATATTTATTGAATAAGTCTATTTTCTATTGTAATAGTCATGTAAATATTTAATTGAATATTGACAAAGAAAACATACCACAATTTGTGGCAAATTGTATATGAGGGAAGATGGGAAAACCAAAGTGTATTTTTTGTTTCTAGTTGTTTTGATAAGTTAATGGATGCTATTTAATGTGCTTAAAGTATGCCGGGAACTATCTAAAATGCTGTACATATATATATATCTGATTTATGCCTTACAACAACCCTGTGAAACAAGTATCAGCTCCTTTACAGTGAAGAAACTAGAGATTAAATAAAGCTGTTATGCAATTAATGTGTAGGAAGGCAAGATAGGACAATTGACGCTAGAACCCGTACTTTCAACTAAAGGCTCAGGGTTAAAATGCTGCTCTATTGTTGCTCTGAAAAGCTTCATTTGTATCTTTTTAATTCATTTTTATTTTGGTTAAACAAAAAAAATTGCAAGTAATCATTTCTGTTTAATCACTGTGGTTTAAAGTCACTTAATGACTTTTTCCCTTTTTACAGTGGGATGCCATCACTGAAATGGATGAACATAATAGGCCCATTCACACATACCAGGTATGTAATGTAATGGAACCAAACCAGAACAACTGGCTTCGCACAAACTGGATCTCCCGTGATGCAGCTCAGAAAATTTATGTGGAAATGAAATTCACACTGAGGGATTGTAACAGCATCCCATGGGTCTTGGGGACTTGCAAAGAAACATTTAATCTGTTTTATATGGAATCAGATGAGTCCCATGGAATTAAATTCAAGCCAAACCAGTATACAAAGATCGACACAATTGCTGCTGACGAGAGTTTTACCCAGATGGATTTGGGTGATCGCATCCTGAAACTCAACACTGAAATTCGTGAGGTGGGGCCTGTAGAAAGGAAAGGATTTTATCTGGCTTTTCAAGACATTGGGGCGTGCATTGCCCTCGTTTCAGTCCGTGTTTTCTACAAGAAGTGTCCCTTCACTGTTCGTAACTTGGCCGTGTTTCCTGATACCATCCCAAGGGTTGATTCCTCCTCTTTGGTTGAAGTACGGGGTTCTTGCGTGAAGAGTGCTGAGGAGCGTGACACGCCCAAACTGTATTGTGGAGCTGATGGAGATTGGCTGGTTCCTCTTGGAAGATGCATCTGCAGCACAGGATTTGAAGAAATTGAGGGTTCTTGCCATGGTAAGAAACAAACATTTCAATACTTCATCTTGCGTTTAAATGATTTAAATTTTTAAATTTTTTAAAAAATAACCGATGCTAAATGTACATCTTCACGGGTGCACAGTAACGTTTTGATACATACGGTGTATGCTGGTCAGATCAAGGTAGTTAACATATCCATCATCTCAGACACTGATCTTTCCAAAATGATGATTTATTAAAAGCAAATGTTGTACATTTATTTTCAAATAATACATTTTTGAGTGGTATTCCTGACAATTAATTGTGAAAGGAATGGATTCATAGTAACTATAAGAAAATTGATGTTGTTTTTCTCCTGGGAAAGGTGTATGAAAGTGTACCAGAATGCTTTCAGTAAAGCAGTTAAACAATATGAATTGTTCTATTCACTGATTTTTATAAAGGAAAGCAGCATCAACAGCAGCAACAAAAAGTACTGAGATTCAAAATAGTGATTTCCCTGGTGTTCACATTTTTATGGTTTATAGAAATGTGACATTTAAAGACAGTAATAATTATTTCTATTATATTGAATAGTAATACTTGAATCAAACTTAAATGGAATTATATTTAAATAAATGAGGAATTCATACATTATTTCAAAAACATAAAAGCTAGTTTATATGGGTGTTATATGTGATGTGTTTGGTGGTTGACTATTGACCTGATCAGAGGTTAATTAATTGTTTGCTATTATTGCATAGAATTTTTCACTGTATAACACATTAGCTTCTCATTTTAATAGTAGTATTTGTGTAACATCTAATTGTCAGGAAATATTAACATTACACAATGCTAGTTAAGTTTAGAACTATACCTTTCACACTGTTATAACAATGAGATACCTATAATTTTCAAGATGAAATATTTACTTTTTATGTAATTTATTTTATGAAGGCTTATTACCTAACAAGTATATACATTCAAAATGTTTATAGTGCCCCAATAAAGAGCATATATTTGATTATGTTTAGATTTAGGACTCATAATCAAAACACAAATAGAAATAAAATTATTTCTTGATAAATAGTCTTGGGAAATAGTAATGTACTGGAGATATTTCCTGCTCAATGATAACTTCTTTAGAGGGTGTTTTCTATAGCACCAGCTTAATTTATTGATTTCTTTGTTGCTGTTATATTCACATTCATTAAAAAGGATGAGAATAAGAAAAACATACCTTTATGCATATAAGGGTCATGGATAATATATGTGCAGTTTTAAAGGTCTGTTTATAAAACACTTGGGTTCTTTACTCTTGAAAAGTTCACGAGGAACCATCAAGTGGAGAAAATATATGTGGAAGTAGAGAGTGAATCTGTATAATTAAAGGATAATCTGTACATAGAGAACTGGGCAAAAATTGATAGGATGAATTTAAAGAAAAGGACTACCTTTGGAAAAAAGAAATTAAATTTTGTTCACATATCCTACTCCTTATCATTCTGCATATTCCAAGTGTCATATTTAAAATTAAGGGTACTTAAAATTGAATCCAGGAATATTAAGGCTCTGTTTCTTAGAATTTTAGAGGATATGACTAATAAAAGGACTTTTGAAATGAAGGCTTTATTTTCACATTCACTTTGTTTTGTGCTCTTTGAGAGTAACTGATATTTTCCAGATAGTCATTCAGCAATCCGTAAATATGATCCAATAACTTGCTTATAATTTATTGAAGTCTTGACATCTCTTCAGGAGTAAATTTAGAATGATGCTATCAGTTCATATTAATCAATATTAGTGCTTTATCAGATGAAACGAAATCAACAAAAATTAAGTTCATTTTGTGATTAAACCTGCAACCATTTTTTTATTATTTTTCTACTATACTTAATGGTTATTGCCATAATTTCTTCTGTTTAGTTCTACTAAGCTAGAAAGCCAGGGTGAAGTTAATGATAATTCCTATTGTTTTATTTATTTCTATACCATGAGATCACTGTTGATGACTGCAATACCAGGTGCAAAAATTAATGATTTGATTTTTGTACAGTTTCACTGAGTAATTTTTTACTTATTAAAAATAAATTAAGAAATCTAGGGAAAAAAAGTTCACTAGAGCTGCCAGTGATGATTATGTTTTGTAACTAGAGAATATTAATATTTGCATGAGAAGTTTGTAGTATATACTTTACAAAGCATGAATCAGCTTTCCTCTGCTTTTAATCATGAAACTATGTTTCATTCAAATTTATTAATATAGTTTGTCAATATTGTTTATCAACATTTTTATTCACTTATAACAAGGATTTATAATGGAGAAAAATAAAACCATGAATGATCCTGGAGGGATCTAAAGCTATTTTACATTGGAAAGTGTATGTTTTAGTTTGTTCTCATACTGCCATAAGAACTTCCTGAGACTGGGTAATTTATGAAGGAAAGAGGTTTAAATGGCTCACAGTTCCACAGGCTTAACAGAGAGCACTACTGGAATGCCTCAGGAAACTTACAATCATGGCAGAAAGTGAAGGGGAAGCATGCGTATCTTACCCTGGCAGCAGAGGAGAGAGAGAGAGAGAAGGGGGCAAGTGCCATACACTTTCAAACAAACAGATCTCATGAGAACTCACTATCACAAGAACAGCAAAGAGGAAGTCCACACTCATGATTCAGTCACTTCCCACCAGGCCCCTCCCCTATAATTTCAAGATGAGATTTGGGTGGGGACACAGAGCCAAACCATATCAGTGCACTAAAGAAAAATTTATACATATGAATAACAGTGAAGTGGAGAAAACAATAAGATCTAAGGAAAAAATGTATTACGTATAATAACCATGTGTTTTTTGATATAGGCATACAATATGTGTAATAATCACATCAGTTTACCACATTTTAAATTATGTGGATGTTAGCCATTTCTTGCTAAAAATAATAAAGTTTTAAAAATATTTAAAGAATTATGTAAAAATCTAAGGGTTTATATGATTTGCTAGTATTAAATACTTGTTCTTCTTTATGGCATTTACTACAGAATTAAAATAACCAACTATGATGGCTAGATTTTTTTTTACTTAATATGCTTGCTGTATGAAATTTTGTTTTTATTTATATGTCTTAAAATATCTTCAGTGATTTGGCAAAGATAGTTTTGGACAAATGATAAACAGCCTCAGTTTATCTAGAGCTTCTATTTGTCTGCTTGTATCTTCTATCTGCAGAAACATGAGGGAATCAGTACAGAACAATTGTTCATCATCTTGTAGTAGATGGCTGAAATTGGAAGAATTAAGTTTGAGTTGAGTATCTATGGCTTATAAACTTTGAAATCAGGTGTTTAATTTATAAAGTAGTGGTTATAATCACTGGATGATACATGTAAAACTATTAACAAGCACACAGGCCTGACTTTAATTGAATATAATGAATTGTTATTTACAAACAAAAGGAGTCAGAGTGAATGTGGTGACTACATTATTTTTAAAGAGATATATATTGCAGTGCTAGCAGTGTTCATTTTAGAGTACTCACTTTTTTGTGTGTTCTTGATGTTTCATGTTGCCCCTTTCTTTCCTCTCATAAGAATTTTATCATTGCTTTTATTGCCATCTATTCATAACTTACCTCACAAAAAAAATCTCTGAATTACATATAATCAAAGGTCAAACTAATGCAGATGTATATGAAAAAAACTGTAGTACAAGTAGAAATGTGACCACATATATAATGGGAAAAGAAAAAGTGAGTATATCACTATTTTCCTTCTAGTCTATTCTAAAAACAATTAATTAACCTAAACCATTTTTTTTTTTGAGACATGGTCTTATTCTGTCACCCACCGAGGCTGGAGTGGAATGGTGTGACCGTAGCTCATTGCAACCTTGAACTCCTAGGCTCAAGCAATTCTCCTGCCTTAGCCTCCCAAAATGCTGAGGTTGCAGGGATGAGCCACTGCTTCCAGCCCCAAACTATTGATAATTTTGAGCATTTACTGTTTCTTAATCACTTTCTTAAGTGGTAGAGATAAATATAAATACGGCATATGTTCCGATTATCTACTGCTATGAGACAAAACAGCACAAAATATATAGGCTTAAAATCACAATGATTTATTGTTTTTCAGGGCTCAACTAGGTAGTTCTGCAGTATTACAACATAGTGCAATAAACGGAGGTCACTCATGTAGCCGAATTCCACTGGAAGCTTGACTGGAGTTGGAATGTCCAAGATAGCCTCTCATCTTCCAGGGCCTTTCTCTGTGTGGCCTCTCATCATTTAGTATCGATCCCAAGCTTTCCTGGAGTGTAGTTGCTGGTTTATTCACATAACCATCTGCAAAATGAGTATCTGAGGAGACAGCACAGAGAGTGTAGGGGACTGCCACCGTGGCAATATATTATTTCACAGTCAACTCTCTGGATTCTCCCGATGAATGTCTCTTCATCATGTGCAAAAACCCACACCCTCCCAAACGTTTATCCCATTATGACCTCATGCTGAAGTCCAAAACAGCGTGTTGAAATCTGTTCCAGATTCAAATGAAGTTTCGTTGCTAAGACCCCTGTTGATCTGCAGAACTAAGAACCCGTGAGTAAGTTATCGTTCCCTACACCCACAACACACATGGAACAGGGGCAGGAGAATTGGAACATATTCTCCCATTCCAAAAGGCAGGGAACACAACAGTCACTGATCCACTGAGTGTGAAGTGCAGCTGGTGTTTTCAGGGTTCCTGACTACAGGGGTAGGGAATGTTTTCTATTAGAGCACGGTTCTGCTCCCTGTGATTGGTTCTCCGTGTCTTTTGGCTTTCTTACTAGTATCTCGCCCCTACACTCTTACTCATCCGCTCTAAGAAATGCCCACGTGCTGGTTGCTAGTTTCAACAGCTTTCGGATGCCTCTTTAATTTGATCAACAACATTACGAAGTGCTTTTGCTCTCTTCCAAGTTATCACAGCAGCATTATTGCTACATGTTGACCTTTTAGTATTGCCAATAACAGTATCTTTACTGTCTTCGAGCCTCTACTCAGTCTCCTTGCTATTCTTC